TGCCAATACAGGGACTCAAAGCGACTAACAAATCTAAAACCATCCAAGTTAAAACGGTAGAAAACATTAAAAATACAAAGTTTAAAAAACAATTAAACAATTAAAACAATTAAAAACATTACATTATCAAAAATTTTAAAGTTTAAAACTCTTTAAGACAAAAACAAAAACAGCATCCATGTCATGCAAAGGCCTGGCGGCATAAAAATGTTGCCAGAAGGACAGCAGGGATGGAGCCATCCTGGCCTCCCTAGGGAGGGAGTTCCAGAGTTTGGGAATAGCCACTGAGAAGGCCCTTTCTCTTGTTCCCACCAAACGCAGTTGAGAGGGTAGTGGGACAGAGAGAAGGGCTTCTCCTGATGACCTCAATACTCTGGAGGGCTCATACAGGGAGATACGGTCCTTCAAATAGCCTGGACCCAAGCCATATAGGGCTATATAGGTCAAAACCAGCACTTTGAATTGTGTCCGGAAACAGACTGGCAGCCAATGGAACTGTTGCAACAAGTGAGTTGTATGCACCCTGCAACATCTCCAGTTAACAACCTGGCTGCAGCTCTTTGGACCAGCTGATGTTTCTGAGCACTTTTCAAAGGCAGCCCCCCATAGAGCGCATTTAATGGAATGTAACCAAGGCATGTACCACCATGGCCAGATCTGACTTCTCCAGGAACGGGCACAGTTGGCACACAGGTTTTAGCTGTGCAAAGGCACTCCTGGTTACCATATTTACAGCTTCCATAAAGTGAATATGTATCTGTACGCATTGACAGTGTGCTGCTCATCTGCTAAATTACTGAGTTGTAGTCACCTAGCTTGGCAAGCTGGTAGGGGATAGACTGTTCTCACATGTGCCTTGCGCAGTCAAGGAACCCAGTCACATCTACTCTAATGTAGCTTGAAAAAAGTAACTTCCCTCAATTGTTCCATGTGTAGAATGATTGAGAGACTCTGAGCTTAGAAAAGTTGCTTTTTAGGATCTCAAGCCCAGAATCCCTCAAGCCAGCACTTAACTTCTGCAAGCTGTGGAAGGAATGGCCTGAAGTCACTGAACTCACGGCATCACACCAGCTTTTGAGAAGGCATTGCCCTCTGAATGCCAGTGCTTAAAAAGGCATAACACCCACTCTGAATAAGGAAAAGGTCACACTGGGTCCTGAGAGGATGGACTCCTTCTCAAAACCACAGCAAGAAGGAAGCAAGCTTGATCTCAGGCCTTGGTGGGAGAAGCAGCAGCTGCACAATCCTCTCTTCTGCCACCACTAATTCATACATGCCACACACACCCTACCAAAAGAGAACATTGTCATACATTTATTGCTCTGTAACCACTGCTTGGAGGGCAAAGTTATTCTGGTGTGTGCCATCGGCCCAAGAACTAAGGGCTGCCGAAGAGTTGTATTACCTCCACGCTGGCATGGACACCAGCCATTTCCTTACTTAATGTACATACCTGTTAACAACATTCCTCTCCAGCCTTCAACAAACTGATCTCCCTTCTCTTCCTTTTCACTTTCCCTCGTATGGCTTGCCTTTAGTTTGGAAGTCTAAAGGCAATTTATTTATAACACATAGTTAACAGACACTCTAGAAGTAACAACAAGAGAAAAGGCATATCTTCCAGTACAGGAGGTGCTACCTTGGTTTGCTTACTTTAATAAAAATGCAGATTTTTAGTGTACCAATGCACTCCTCTCCCTACGTGTCACCAGTTCTTAGAGAGCTGTTATTCTGCCTACAGCACCAAATCATTTATCTTCTTTCCAAAACAGGCAAGTCATCTCCTCTTTCTTCAAAAGTAAGAAGGCTACCCTATCCTATACGTTTTAGGCAGGATAAAAATGCAGAGCTCCTAGTTGCATTCTTTGTCTTAGCCTTACTTCCATGAAATTAGCATGAGCCTGGCTAAACAAATTCTGTGGGTTAAAAGTGGGCAATGTGAGGTCCTGCAGATGTTGTAAGAGTGCCATCCCCACATGCCCTAGCCATTCCAGCCAACAGTGAGGGATTATGGGAGCTGCAATCCAACAACATCTGGAGGGGCTGCAGGCCACATGGAAACCCCAGGGGCCATTTTATAGCCCTCAGAGGGTCAAACCAATTGTTTCAAAATACCCCTAAATGAACTCTAGGCAGTGTGGTGGGCATTTTCAGCACATTTGGAAGACCTCTGTCCCCTGGGGTCAAGCAAAATTTGACCTGGGTTTAAGAAAGGCCCTTCTGTTCACTTCCCATTGTTTAAAACAGGGGTAGGCAACCTTTCCCCTTTAAGGGCCGAGGGACTTCAGCTCCCAGAATCCCAGGAGCTATTGGCCAACATGGGACTATTGGCCAACATGGCTGAGGCTTCTGGGAGCTGAAGTCCCTCAGCCCTTAAAGGGGAAAGGTTGCCTACCCCTGGTTTAAAAGGGGCCATAAAGCCCCCAAAACGTGGTGAAAATGCCCACTATGTCCCCTAGAGGGCATCAGAACAAAGCTGGTACAAAAAAATGGTGGTGGGTGGTGGTGGTGGTGGTAGGACCAGGTGCAATGGGAAGGGTTCAGCCTTTCAAAGTCTCCTGAGGGGCTAATACATGCTTCCACAGATGCTCATTGCTGTGTTAAAGCCACAAGAACAGGGTCAAAGAAAAAAATGGCAATCCTACATTACCCTCTTTAGCAAGGGAGGAGGTTAATACCAATAAATGAGCTAAAGAGTAAAGTTAAATCCAAAAACAGAAAGGCTCCATCCACATGCCAAGCATCAATAGGCAATTCAAAGCTGCCTCCATATTCTAGACTGGGGCTGGAGAACTGTGGTTCTCCAGATGTTTAGAATCTCAACCCCCATCAGTCCCATCCAAAATATCTTCAGGGCAAAAGGCTCTCTACTCCTTTCCTAAGCAATGCATGTATGACTCATCTCCTATCTAATACATAGCACCTACCAACTCGTCATAAGGTATCAACAGAACTAAATCAAAATGAAAACATTAGCTTTGATTCCAACATGGAAAGTGGGTTAAAACTTCAAGAAGTTAGTAGACTGGATACTTCCCAGCTCCTACTTGTCCATGCAGCCGTCTGTTGCTCCTCGAAAAGTATCACTAGAAGGTCAAGAGATGGGGAAGGAGGAATATGCCCTTATGTTAACAAATCATAGGATCCAAGTGTCACACAGCGAAAAGGCCCCAAATAAAAAGTATGAATCAATCACACCTAAATTTTTATAATTTTTTTTGTTAAAGCCCCAGTTAATATGACCATTGATTGCCTTGAGACAAAGGATGCTTCTAAATTTGGCATTTCCCCCCTGCAATTATCTTGTCTCAATCATGGAATTTTACAGGGAGTGCAGATATCAACTTCCATTTGTAACCCTTCCATGTTTTCTCACCACTTCTTTTATCTTCTTCCTTGCTGGAAAGTCTCCATTAAGGAGGAAAAGGCAGAATAAATGGATACACCTATTTGAATGGAAGAAAGCATGATGCAGCGGTCTGAGTGTAGGATTATGATTCTGGAGACGATGGTTCAAATCCCCACACAGTCATGGAAACCCACTGGGCGATCTTGGGCAAATCATATTCTCAGCCTTAGAAAGGCAAAAGCAATCCCCTCTGAACAAATCTTGTCAAGAAAATCCTATGATAGGTTTGCCTTAGGATCGCCATAAGTTGGAAACAATTTGAATGCACACAACAGCAACAACATTAGGGGAAGGGTGTTTGGATGTTACCCTGGATTTCAGAACAACTCAGTGACAGAACTGGGTAGGACCACAAGGAACCAACTGGGATTGATTGTGGAATTATTCAAAGATTAAATTGAGATATGAAACTCCAATAACAGATGATTCAGATATAAATAAACAGACCTGAATTCCAATTAGCATCCAGATAGCATCTATGCGGCACGGCAACAAATATTTGCCTAAGCAAAATGAAAGAAGATGGGAAGCACGGTTCCCACAAGACTACTTTATCACAATCTGGGAAATGCAGAAGCTGCACAATGAAAAGACAGTCCTTAATCCTTGGAAAGAGATACACAGCACCTTAATCCCAAGTAGGTGAATTAATTAGGCCTGAAAGTTTGTATTGCAGCCAAATGAAGCAGGTTTCAGTGCAAAAAAAGATTTCTGGGAGATTTCCAAGTGGAATATTTAGAACACATAGGAGAAGTCATCCAGCTGAGAAAGTAAACCACAGTGCTTGCTAATCTTGGCTTTTATTTTATATTTTAGTACACATTTTCTATGAACCTCTACTATTGAGATCTATTATAAAAAGATCTCATTCCAACAATCTGTATTCCACACTGGAAACTGACTTTGCTTACCAGCTTTCAAAAGGAAATTTCAACAAGATTCCTCCCCACATGATAAGCTAGAATTTGGCAGCAAATTAACCTATTCATCTTTCTTTGTACAAAAAAAAAAAAAATCAGTCATCACAAGGATGCAACAAGGGGAATCAAGCAGAGCTTTGCTCATATCTACCACCAACATGTCTGGAATCAGAAAATGAGGACCACAACAAGTAAGTGTGGAGAGAACAAACAAAGATGAAATTTACTTTGTGGAATAGCTTTTGTGTAATTTGATTCTTTGTGAATTTGCTAACCAATATTAGCGGAGATGCCCATACTGAACACTACAAAGTTATTGTGAATTAAAAGGGCTGCATAAATAATTACAAAACCAAACCAAAAATCAAGCAGAAATGTACTTCCTACCATAACCCTATTCACCAATACATTGATTAAAGTAAACCCAGTTAATCCCAAATAAGGGCACATAGGACTAGACTGCAGCCTTAGAACTCATGACAGAGACAGGCTCAACTACTATGTTTTGTCATTGTTATTGTGTACCTTCAAGTCCTTTCCGACTTAGGGCAACCCTAAGGCCAGTGTATCTCAGGTTTTTCATGGCATGTTTTGTTCAGACAAGGTTTGCCATTACTTTCCCCTGAGGTTGAGAGGGTGTGACTTGCCCAAGGTCACCCAATGGGTTTCCATGGCCGAACAAAGAATTGAACCCTGGTCTCTAGAGTCATAGTCTAATGCCCAAACCACTACATCACGCTGGCTCTCAACTAGGCCTGAACAAAAAGTGAGAAAGATGTCAAAGCCTTGCTTCACGGCCACACTTTGCTTCTCCAGTTGCTCTACCCATCCCAAACCTATCTCTTCTAGTTGGAACAAGACTCTGAAAGAAAATCACAATGGCGAGGGCAAAAATGAGTTGAGACAGCAGTTTTGAAGGCAAAAGTTGAAAGAAGGGAAGGATTCAGCATTACCAAATACATACACATGTACCCTGACACTGGTGCATCTGTCCTTCCCCTTCCACAAAACAGTGTATCCCATTCTGCACACCCACCCCCAATAATAGTAAAGCATTCTAGGGATGGACCATTCCAGTGCTACATCTAGTTAGGGAGTTAGTTACATGTTCAGCATTTATACATCTCAATCCTAAGGATGCTTTTTGGAAGTAAGTCCCACTGTGCCCAGTGAAACTTTTAATTCATTGTTAGTGCACAGAAGACTGCAGCTTAGGTTGTAATCCTCCACAAAGTTGCTAGGGAGTAAGTCCTGCTGGAACCTACCTCCAAGTAAGCGCTTGGATAAGATGGTGCAGTACCAACAGACACTAACCCAAAGAGACCATCTCCTAAAGTGCTCTGAGCTGCTTGCAAAGTGGCAACTGCCTTCACCTCTTAGGGAAGACAATAGAATCAGAGGACAACAAGTACCTCTCACGAATCTCTCATCAATCTGGCACTAGCAGTGGCACGTAATTTCAACCGGCAATCAACTCAGAGCAATCATCCATGCTTTTCAGATGGGGAAAAAGAGACACAACCGCTCGAAGGTAAAATACCTGAGTCTGGAGACAGAACCAAATAGAAATACTCTTAAGAAAAATACTATTTTAGAAGCATAACTCGTGTTGTAATTGTAGGGCTTTCTTTTAACTTTCACATTTTTAGGTTCTTATTAATGTGGGGGTAATCTTTAAAAGTAAATGTTTCCTGGCTCCCGCCTTCCTGCTTCTTTTATGTACTGAAAAGCCAGATAAAACAGCCAAGAGACACAGCATTCATATTTTAAAAATTTATGGGTTGTTTTTTTTTTATTGCAACACACTTCTCAGCGATGACTTTTCTTAGCAACCAACCAGGGCACGATTTGATGCTAGGATTTATATGCTATTTATTAATGCTGAACAGCCGAAAAGAAGCAGGGTGCTTACTTAAATAGGTTACAGATATAGGAGCACCTCTGCAATCTCTTATGTTTCTGTTAAGCAACAGAAGTGGGAGAAGGAAGGGAGAAGCTAAAGGTGAAGGGGATGGTTTGCATTAATTAACTGGGGTGATAGGCCTGAAAAAAATACACTCAGCAAGAAGGAACAAAAGATCTCAGCTCCTGTTTGAGAAGCAGGGAAAGGGGGCACGAGAGAGGGGACTTCATCTCCTCTTAAAGAGAAATAATTTTCTTGCTGGTACAACAACTGAAATAAAAGCACGTTTTGAAACCAGAGCTGCAAGGTCTTTGTTCCCAGCCGCACAAAATGAACGGCAGCCCCTATCACCACTGGTTCCAGATACGTGAACTGTTGATACCTCACTGACCACACAAGGTCAGTGCTCACATTCCCAGATTGACCAGACACCTCCCTTGTTGTTTTCAGCCTTGCAAGAAAGGAGCATAAGCCCACAGCGAATGGATGCACAGGGCTCCTAAGTACGAACATATAAAGAGGAAGGGTATATAAAAAATGTACCCTTCCCATATTCATATTACTGATTAGATAGATAGAAAGAGAAATCAGATTATTTGTATGAAAGTGCTGGGGAAGAGACAGGGATAATGATGGTGGTTGTGAGCGCATGAAGGAAAGAGTCTCTATCTATGCACATGTATAGTTACGTAGCTAGTATTTTATATACTGTATTTGGACCCAGGAAATATGTAATTTTTAAAATAGGGAGTGTTGAGCTTTCCTGGGACTAAATGCTCAACACTTCCTATTTTAAAAAATTACATATTCCCAGAGTCGAAACTGAGAAAGTCTTCCAAGCCCTGGATATGTTTGGGAGTCATTTAAGTCCCATTAAAACTCACTGTGACACAAGAGCAACTTATTACTGTTGAAAATTCATCCATTTGGGTTGTAGTTCTGCACCTGGGAGTATGGCATGCACTGAACCCTGAAGTGCTTATCTCTGAGTAGACATGCACAAGGCTGCACAGAAAAAAACTTACTGTATAATAACATATGATCCCACGCATATCTCCTCAAACATGACTCCCATTTAATTCAATATAACTTGCACCCAAGTAAGTGAATATGGGCCTGTAGCCTCACAGGGCGCTCCAACATAAGGCCCACTGAGAAATAACTCTAAATTCCACAAGACTTACTCCCAGCTGTGTATAGGATTGCAACCCAAGCCACCTTCTTTGGATCACAGAGTTGGAAGGGCCATCCAGTCCAATCTCCTTCTGCCATGCAGGAAGACACAATCAAAGCACTCCCAACAGATGGCCATCCATCTTCTGTTTAAAAACCTCCAAAGGAGACTCCACCACATACTTTTTATTGTTAAAAGTAGACAGTATAGCATTGTTCAGGGGTGGATACTAACACGTTGGAAACATTTGAGTCCCTGCTTAGCCATGAGGCAAAGACTGCGGGGAGGATTCTTTAGGATCGGGCACTAAAGGGTGGCCAGCAGGGTCCCCAAGAAAGGCTCCCCTCCACCGGGCACCTTTCCTGGGGGACCAGCCCCACTGAATTCTGCGGAGGGAGATCCATAGGCAGCAGGCAGGGACAAGGGAGATATAGATATAGGTGTAAAAATATATATATACACACACACTATCTATCTATCTATGAAAGAACCAGAGTGCTGTAGTGATTTGAGCCTTGGACTATGACTCTGGAGACTAGGGTTTGAATTCGGGCTTGGCCATGAAACTCACGGGGGTGACCCTGAGCAAGTCACACACTCTCAGCCTCAAGCTTTTCCTTTTCCTTTTCCTTTCCCCACAGCTGAGCCCTAAGGATTTGAGTCTTGAACTATTGACTCTAAGAGATCAGGGTTCGACTCCTCGCTCCGCCATGTCAGCCCACTGGGTGACCTTGGGCAAGTCACACTCTCTCAGCCTCTTCAGGGGATGACCATGTCGAACCTTTCCCCTCCCACACACATACACACAAATCTTGCCAAGAAAACCCCAAGATAGCTTCACCACCTTAGGGTCCCCTTAAGTGGGAAAGGAGTTGAAGGCACACAGGAACAAACCTATCTATATTATCTATCTA